TCTTCATTTCACCAACGTAATCATGATAGTCCATTGTGGAATTACCTTTTTTATAAATGGATGTGGGAATTTTTGCCTTTCGTCCATATAATAACTCAAATGGGGTGTAATTTGTTGAAGAGTTAATCGTTGTATTGTATTCAAAGTTGAAGTATGGTATCAATTGGTCCCATGTTCTTTGATTCCCTCCAATAAATTGTCGTAAATAGGTTTTCAACTCTCTGTTTGAACGTTCCACTAAATTAGCCTGTGGATGGTATGCACTTGTGTTGATTTTTTTTAATTTTCAAAATTTTACATATGTTTTTCATGAGGTTACTCATGAAGTTCGCACCTTGATCGGTCACTATTTCTTTTGGACACCCGAATTTACAGATCACATTTTCGACAAAAGTTCTTGCTACTGTTTGTGCTTCCTGATTTTCCATACATGCGACAATTAAATATCTGGTTAAGTCATCTTGAACGACTAATCCGTATTACCCCATTCCGATTCGGGTAAAACAACGATATCCATAAATAATTTTTCAAACGGCTCTGTAGCCTTGCAAATTTTGTTTTTCTGACACGAATCGCATTTTCTTACATAATCTTCAATGTCTCGTCTAATATTTTTCCATGTAAAAAGAGACCCAACTCTCTTTCGCATACGTTTTGCTCCTACATGTCCACCTAGGGGTGCGTCATGAAATTCTCGTAAAATTGTTTCGATTTCTTCACCCTCTATTTGGATACGTTCAGAGTCTGCATTGTACAAAGAAATTTTCTTATCAAATTTCCATGATATGAATTGTATCATTTGTAATACTTCAAACTGTTTTATTTTGCGAAATGATAATATATGGACATGTTTTGCTTGCTTTAGATAGTCAGGACCTTCCATAAAGCTCCTATTGAGTTTCTTTAGGAAACTTTTACCATTGAGCAAAGAGTTATTTTTCCCCTCGATAATCAATCCTGCAATCTTTTCGTTTGGTATATTTATAATTCCATTTTTGTCATAATCCTTCAATCCATGTGGTAAATTACACAGAGTTGAAATTTCCTTGTAGGCTGATCTACTATTTAATATAACTAATGTAGCATCTGCTGAGTCATTAGTTAATTTCCCTGAAATCAAAAGTTCATCTGTGTTTACTAATGATTGCTCTACGCTTGCTTTAAAATCATTGTATAAGTTGTGGTTATCATCTTTCTTTGTGGTGTTTCCATTGTCACTTATATCCATGTTAACTAATTCATTAAAAACTGAGTTCCTTTGAGGTTGGTCAGTTCTCAAATATTGGTCAGTGGAATCGCTTGATCGCTTGTTGTTTATTTCTGTTTGGGTTGTCTGCCTCTGCATTCTTTGCTGCTGTCGCGTAACGACTGCAACTACCTGCTCTTGTTCTACCGACTGTAGTAGGTATAACAGTTATTAGTAAGAAAAGTAAATTCTACCAAAGCGTGTACAAGGTAAATCGGGGTAGTAATTACAAAGAAAAAAGGGTATGCGCAAATCTGTGTGTATGTAAAGAAAGCTCATAACTGCACGAAAATCGAAATGCTAATCTGAACCGGAAAACGATCGTCGAGGTTGAAAGCCAAAGTTCGGAAATCGTTTCCAGTACGAGAGTTAACCAATTCCGAATGAACGTGGGGTGAGAATGAGAGAACAGAATATGGTATAGAGTAATCGGAACGAAGGTGAAGTCTATCAGGAAGCGAGTCTTTTTCGGATTAGAGGGAGATAGGCTAGAATGATGAAATTAGAATGATGGAGTGAGAAGACACCAAACCGAACTGGAGAGATTCGGAAAGGGGAAATTAACGAAGTAGCATACTCGACTTCGATTCGAGGCTAGCACAAGGATTCTGTTGGTTACATTTGGCGTTAGCAGACGTGTTTTTTTGGAGCCATGGCGGGTAGACGGAAGTCGGCTGGAATAATGCCCTTGAAGCGGCACGACAATGGCGCAGTCGGTATCACAGAAGAAGATCCTCCACGGTAAGTTATACTTCAAATCGTATAATGAGTGAAATCAGGAGCAAAAAAAAAATGCGTGGAAAAGTTTGACCAGAATTGATGGTTAGCAAATATTGGAAGAGCGTGTCTGAAAAAAAAATTGATGTGAAAAAATATACGTTACATAAATTACGAATGCTAATCAAAATAGAAGGATGAAAAAAAAAATGGTTTTGTGATTGAAAGAACTGTCCGGAGCAAAAAAAAAAGATGGAGGCATGAAAAAAAAAAACGTTAAATCATAGTACATAGTACCAAACGAAAATGAAGTAAGAGAAAAAAAAATGGCGTTTGCAATTAAAGGAAGGGCCTGGATCGAAAAAAAAAATTGAGTTAAATAAATAAAGCATATTGGAACTGGAAAAAAAGAAGAATGGATGGAAAGAAAAAGAAGTTTTGAGAAGAATGTGTTCAGAGCGAAAAAAAAATGTAATGCATGCTAGTTGAACTGCAAAAAAAAAATGTTTTGCGATTGAAGGTATTGTCCGGAAAAAAAAACATGGAGTTGAAATTATATATTGATCACGAAAAAAAAAACAAAAACTTGATGAAAAAAAAAAAAAACGAAAATATTAAAATGTTTTGTTCTCTGATCTTTCTATTTTTTTTTTTTATTTTTTTTTTATTCGAAAAAGAAAAACATGAAATTGGAAACGGTACTGAAGGAGCTTGCAGCTGCTAAGGCAAGCAATGCGTTGTTGAATGAGGAGTGGAGTAAGGCCCAGGAAACAATCAGGTCACTTCAGACTACTTTGAATTTGCCCAGAAGTGAAGCCAGTGACGTGAACAGCGATGAATTTAATGGAGCGGTTGGACCATCAAGCACACATCACCACGGAAATCAGAGAGAAAGTAGTACGGAGCTTTCACGCTTTATGACATCCATCAATCAAATGTCGGTTTCATCTGTCACCGTACCAGAGTGCAAACCATCTACGGGCAGCGAAGAGATTGGACGCCAGGACTTTGAAGCATGGAAGGACTTGTTGGTGGATTCTATGAAGCTCGCTGGCATAACGGACGAGGCCACGCAGTTCATAATTTTCAAAGTGAAGGCCGGACAAAAACTTCTGGAGATTTTCAAGAACACAAAATCAACAAGTGATGGTCCCGATCAAGATGATCATCCATTTTTAAATGCAATGTTTCGTTTGAAGTCATACTTCACCTCGGGATCCGACGTCATGCTTCAAAGAAGGAAATTGGCATTGATGGGGCAGAAACCGGAGGAAAACGATCTTTCATTCCTCATGCGAGTAGGCGCAACGGCAAGATTGTGCGAGTTTGCAATCGATAAAGAGTTTGAAGAGATTGTGGGTACAGTTGCAGAACATGCAAAGAACCGGGAAGTACGCACCGCTGCCCTTAAACTCTTGAGTCGGAAGGGCACGTTTACCGACCTCGTGGACCAGGTCCGCGAAATTGAAGCGATACGATTGAACGAGGAGTATTTCAACATGAAGCATGGTGGTCAGAATCAGACAACTATTGCACGAGTAGCGGAGGGGGAGGCTCGTCAAGGGTACAGAGGAAGACCGGCTGGCTTGGGTCGCGGAAGATATGGTACCCAACAAACTCACCGGGGTGGAGCGATGCAAGATCGAAACCCGATGAATTGGAGAGGATACAACGGTTCGATTCCCGAGCGTTGCTTCAGATGCAACAGCTTGTTCCATAAATCAATGAACTGTTTCGCCGTGGACAAAGTTTGCCGGAATTGTGGTGTAAAAGGACACCTGCAACGTGCGTGCCGGACGTTCGTACGGGGAAGAGCTATGCAAGGTGACCGAGTTGTAGATCGGAAGCTATCGGAGATTTCCGTTGTAAGCACGAAGGAGGAGAACAAAACTGAGGATCAGGCCAATCAGGACACCGTAAGTGATATGCCTTGATGAAATTGCAATTTTGAAATAATGTAGTGAAACAATAATTATCTCGATTCATTGTTATTTAACTGAACTGTACATTGTCACGAGTCTTGATTTTTAATAAAGAACATTGAAACAGATGATTCATATTCTTTCTGACACTATTTCAACAGTTGAATGGAGAATAATACGAAATTCAAGATTACTAAGATTACGTTTGTCTCGACAGGTTTCGGCTTTCCAAGAGCAGGGCAACGTTATTCCTCCAATTGTCCAGGTAGCAAACATCCGAGATGACGGAGTGATAAGGGTGTTAGTTTCAGGATTTCCTTTGTGACTTTCTCATAGATTCTGGGGCTCAAGTCAACACGTTGACTGAGTATTCATTCAACAAGATGATTGAGAACGAAAACTACGAAAAGGGCTTGCACAACATCCAATACAGAGCAGATCGAACCCTCAAAGCTTATGCTGTGTCTGGTGAGATACCGGTGATAGGAACGTTTGAAGCCTTTATGTTTGTATCGGAAGATTGGCCGGTGCTATTGGAGAAATTTTATGTCGTCAGGGAGTCGCAATCATTACTGGGTAGACCAACCGCAACACGTTACAGCGTGCTTTTGTTAGGTCTTCAGGTTCCTGTGTCCACGGATACATCAAGATATTCTCAATTTCAAAATATTGATATCGCTGCCATAAGTTCCGAGAAATTTTTTCCAAAATTTAACATACCTCCGGTCATAATCCGGTACGATCGAACAAAACCTCCTTGTCGGAACATATTTTTCAACATTCCAATTGCTGTGAAACCACGCGTTGAAGAAAGATTGCTACAGCTGATTTCTGCTAACATTATTGAAAGAGTAACAGATGCGATGGGCCCTTCGTTTTGCTCATCCATGCTAGTTATCCCTAAAGGGAAAGAAGATTTCCGGTTGGTGATTGATCTTCGGGGACCAAATCAGTACATTCTTCGAACCCCATTCTCAATGCCAACACTTGAACACATTTTGGCAGATTTGAAAGGAGCTAAATGGTTTTCAACCATTGATTTAAGCAATACATTTTTTCATATTGAGCTCCACGAAGACAGTCGCCATTTGACGAATTTTATGACAGAGTTTGGGATGTTCCGTTGCATCAGACTGCCATTCGGACTTTGTAACGCCCCAGATATCTTCCAAGAAGTGCTTCAGCGAAAGATTCTGGGGGACTGTAAAGGCGTTAAAAACTATCTTGATGATATTTTGATATTCGGAGAGACCAAAGAGGAACACGACTTAAACTTAGCTACAGTATTGGATCGTCTTAGAGAACATGGAGTGGAAATCAACAAGACGAAGTGCGTGTTTCAGAGCCAGAGACTGCGGTTTTTAGGTTTCATTTTGACCCCTGATGGTTGGCAAATCGAGGAGGAGAAATTGAGTGCCATCAGGGATTTCCGTAAGCCAGTAAACTGTTCAGAGGTGAAGAGCTTCCTGGGGCTAATCACCTTCGTTGACCGTTTTCTGTTACACCGTGCTACGGAGACAGAGCACTTACGAACGTTGGCTAGTGCCGAAAAGTTCTATTGGACATACAAAGAGGAAACGGAGTTTGCAACCCTACAAAAGGAAACGTTGAATCGGATCAAGACTTTAGGATTTTTCAGTACAACGGACAGAACGGAATTGTTTGTAGATGCGTCACCTGTTGGCTTGGGAGCTTTTCTAGCTCAGTTCAACAACGCAAACATCCCAAGAATTATCGCGTGTGCTTCCAAAAGTCTCACATCAACGGAGCAAAGATATCCTCAAACGCACAGAGAGGCCTTGGCGGTAGTTTGGGGAGTAGAGCGATTTTCGTTTTACCTAACGGGCCGATCATTTACAGTGAGGACGGATGCAACTGCGAACGAATTCATCTATAACTGCCAACATAGAATAGGGAAGAGAGCTGTCTCGCGAGCCGAGGCGTGGGCACTGAGACTGCAACCGTACGATTTTACAATTAAAAGAGTTGCTAGTGAGGATAACGTCGCGGATGCCTTGTCGCGCTTGATTCAGTGTTCTCAGGAGGCAGAGCCGTTTGAAGCTGAAAATGAGAATCATCTTTTGTACGCTCTGGACGGGGGCATGAATATCACGCTGGACGAAATTGAAAAACATTCGGAGACAGACGCGGAAATGCAAAACCTATGTTTGGCCTTGATGTTCGACAAGTGGCCACAGAGCTTGCGGCGATACGAGTGTCAGAAAAAGGATCTACACAACCTCGGTTCCCTAATCTTCAAAAGCGATACAATCGTACTCCCAAAATCATTGCGCGAAAAAGCTCTGCATTCGGCGCATGGTGGTCACGTTGGGGAAGTTGCCGTGAAGAGGATCATGCGAGAATTTTTCTGGTGGCCAGGAATGTCATCGGACACGGAGAGTTTCGTTAAAAAATGTGAAACCTGTGCATTGTTGGCTAGGAAAAATCCTCCAATCCCGCTTTCATCCCGTGAATTGCCAGATGGCCCGTTGGAGATCCTTCAAATAGATTTCCTTACAGTAACTGGGTTTGGTTCAGAAAAGTTTTTGGTTGTCGTGGATACGTACTCACGATTCCTGTACGTCATCGAAATGCATCACTTGAACGCTGAAAGTACGAATGCGGCCCTTTGCGATATTTTTAAACTTTGGGGCTGTCCAAAGATTTTACAGAGCGACAATGGCCCACCGTTCCAGAGTTCGAATTTCTGTAACTTTTGGGAGGAGAAGGGCGTCAGAGTAAGAAAAGCTATTCCATTAAGTCCGCAGTCAAACGGAGTAGTAGAGCGGCAAAATCAAGGGATTATTAAGGTCCTGGCGGCTTCTCGGATAGAAGGAATTAATTGGCGAACTGCTCTTCAACGATTCGTGCATAATCACAACACTCTTGTGCCCCATGCTAGACTAAAAGCGACACCATTCGAGCTATTGGTGGGGTGGAAGTTTCGTGGCACCTTTCCAAGCCTATGGAAGGAGGATAAAGAAAAGGAATTGGATCGCATAGATCTGAAAGAGAGGGATTCGGAGGCTAAGCTCGTCAGCAAAAAGCATGCAGACATGATCAGAGGAGCGAAGGAGTCAGACATAAAAATTGGAGATGTAGTTCTTCTGCATCAACAACGAAGATCGAAAACCGACTCTTCATTTTCATCGGAACGCTATACAGTTATAGCCAGGCAAGGAGCAAAAGTTGTAGTAATGAGCGGGAACGGTATTCAGTACGCTCGAAACGTCCACGACATAAAACTGGCCCCTTGTACAGAGGAAATGGACCCGAAGGGCAGTGGGCCACACAGTGCTATCCAGAATGATTCAACACCAACTCGGTCACAGATGGGAATGACGGACATTCCAGAAGATATGGGTTCTCAGCCAATTGAGCGAAATCTTCGTTCTAGAGGTGGACTAAATAAACCGTCGAGGTTTGATAATAATTTTGTTTATCGTATTTACCAGTAAATAAATAAATCAGTTGTCGCTATTACAAAAATACATTATTATATTGAACTATAAAAATAAAAAAAAAATATTGATTTCAAACAAGAGAGTACAGAAGGGGAATATTGTAGTAGGTATAACAGTTATTAGTAAGAAAAGTAAATTCTACCAAAGCGTGTACAAGGTAAATCAAATGAGATCGGGGTAGTAATTACAAAGAAAAAAGGGTATGCGCAAATCTGTGTGTATGTAAAGAAAGCTCATAACTGCACGAAAATCGAAATACTAATCTGAACCGGAAAACGATCGCCGAGGTTGAAAGCCAAAGTTCGGAAATCGTTTCCAGTACGAGAGTTAACCAATTCCGAATGAACGTGGGGTGAGAATGAGAGAACAGAATATGGTATAGAGTAATCGGAACGAAGGTGAAGTCTATCAGGAAGCGAGTCTTTTTCGGATTAGAGGGAGATAGGCTAGAATGATGAAATTAGAATGATGGAGTGAGAAGACACCAAACCGAACTGGAGAGATTCGGAAAGGGGAAATTAACGAAGTAGCATACTCGACTTCGATTCGAGGCTAGCACAAGGATTCTGTTGGTTACATTTGGCGTTAGCAGACGTGTTTTTTTGGAGCCATGGCGGGTAAACGGAAGTCGGCTGGAATAATGCCCTTGAAGCGGCACGACACCGACGTATGTTGTTGATTCTTAATGTTTACGTTACCTTTTTTACAATTACAACGTTGTAACCTTGATTGCCCCTGACAATAACTTGTTGGTTGAATCTGGTTGACGTTTTTGTTTTCCTTCGTGCATGGTAGCCTTGACAAAAAGTCTGCAACAATGTTCTCTTTCCCTTGTTTGTAGCGTATATCACAATTAAGACCTTGCAGCTTAAGTCGCAGTCTTGTTAATGTGGGTGACGTTTCCTTTAACCGCCAAATTGAAATTAGAGGCCTGTGATCTGTGTAAACAATGAATTTTTGATCAAATATAAAATGTCTAAAATAGTCAACCGCCCAAACGATCGCTAATAATTCTTTCTCGATTGTGTGGTATCTACTTTCTGCACCTATTAATGCCCTGCTCGCAAAGGCGATCGGTCTATCGACAGTTTTCTCATTAGATAACACCGCTCCTATCGCGTAATTGCTAGCATCTGTGCTGATGACAAATGTATCCTCATAATTAGGCCTCACTAACAAAGGTTCAGATATGAGGCATGTTTTAAGCATTTCGAAAGCTTCCTCACATTCACGTGTCCATACAAATTTTACATCCTTCTTCAATAAATCGTTTCCTGTAAAAATTAATTGTACCTAAAAATGATCGAACATCTTTCACTGTAGATGGACTTTTCATCAATTGTATACTTTCTACATTTTCTGTGGTTGGTTTAATACCATATTGATTTATTATATGACCAAGATATTTGATTTCTGTTTTTAAAATTTTGCATTTTACCGGTTCCAATTTTAAATTATGTCTGCGTAGTCCTTGCAACACTTTATATAAGTTTTCATTATGTTCTTCGATTGTTCTTCCTGAAATGATGACATCATCCAGATAAACAACGGCTCGAACATCTCCGATTTCGTATAGTACCGTATTCATTAATTTTTGAAAAGTTGATGGGCTATTCCTTAATCCCATAGGCATTCTAGTAAATTCAAAGTGTCCTTTTGGGGTTGAGAAGGCTGTTTTAGCGACATCTTTTGGATCGATTTGGATTTGATAAAATCCTGATTTTAAATCCAATGTTGAAAAATATACACTATCCCCAAGATTATCCATGATTTCATTGATGAGTGGAATTGAATATACAAAAGGCTTAGTTATCAAATTTAAAGCCCTAAAGTCCACTACAATTCGATATGTCTTATTTCCAGCTGCATCCAAGTCCTTCTTTGGTATACACAAGACTGGTGCATTCCATGGGCTTTTACTTGGTCTGATGATACCTTGCCTATACATTTCTTCGATTTCTTCATTAATTTGCTTTTTTGTTGCTTCTGGGAATCTGTATTGCCGTTTATTAATGGGTACGTTCGTTGAAGTTTCTATTTCGTGCACTGCCGCATCTGTGTGGGTCAGTTTATCACCCTCAAGAAAAAACACATCACTAAAATTACTTAAAATTGATTCAATTGATTCTAAAGCGCTTCGTGATAAATGATCAAGTTCGATCTGTTCGAAGATTTTATTATATCGTTCGTGTCCTTGAAGCATTTTAATATTTTTGTATTTGACAACATCGTAGTCTATGTCAGCATTTAAGTCCAACATTTCTCTGTCGTCATATTCACTTTCTTCTTCATTATATTCTTCATGATAAAAATCATTTTCCGACGGGTCATCTATTTCCATTCCATTGAATGTATGGACTTGTGTAAAATCTTTACACTCGTCTTCCTTATAGTTTTTCTTGCAAGTGTCAAGCTCAAAAATGGCGTATTCAAAATTTCTTCCAATTTGTGCTACATGTTTTTGAAGGAACTCTCCTCCGAGTATACATGGTACTAATAAATGTGTCATTAAATGAAATTTTGCTGGGAATACTATGTTTCCTATGATTAAACCTATATTAACTGATCCCATTGTTTTTGTATTTCCACCAATTCCCGCTATTGTTATAGTATCATTTGTATTTACTTGGTCTATTCTTAGCGATTTGACTGCTTCATATCTGAGCAGATTTACTGATGAACCTGTATCGAGTAAACATCGCAGCCTATATGCGGGGTTATTAGATGTAGGTATCTCGACAAAAAATAAGTTATCTCTAGAATAGATTTTTTTAAGTGCTATTTTATTTGATATTATATTATAAAGGGTTGATTCGCTGTTATTATATTGCTTATTTTTATTTTGTTTCCCCATTATTGCGTGAAAATTAAATTCTATTTCATTACTATTTTTACTTGAAAGCTCCTTATTTCTCTCAATTATATTTTCGTCCGCTGTAACTCCTACCATGTCCTTTTTAAAAACGTATGGTTCAATTTCCACATATCGTTTAATGTCTTTCACACTACTTTCTCTATGTATATAATCAATATATTTTTTATTTATAGGATGAGAGAAGCTTTTGAAGATTGCAAATCTGAAGCTCCCACCTATACTTTCGATATGATTTCTTGCGAATGCTGTGCCTATTGTGGCTGGTACAGCTAAATTATGAACTAAGTTAAATTTTATTGGTATGTTACTTCTGCCTATTTTTAAATTGACCCAAATGTCTCCAAATGATTCTTCTTCTTCTCCGTCTATCTCTGTATATGCCACACTAAGTGGGTTTATCAGTTTTGCTCCCACTTTCAATGCTATACTTTTGTGCATAAAATTTTCGGTTTTACTTGTGTTAAAATAGTATCTGCAAAAGAACTCCGGGTTTTCTGCTGTTGACATATACCAGTAGAAATCTCCGTTATTTCCACCGAACATTGGATATTTATGGTTTGTTGTAATGATTGGGTCAAATTTTATCCCAGCGTGAAAACATTGGGAATCTGTAACATGTGTCTTTCCAGGATTCCGGAATTTTAGTTTTTTATGTCTTGTGTTGAAATTACCTCTGATACTGAAATTCTCTCTGCGGTTTTCGTCATTGTATCTATTGCTGTATTCACCTTGGTAATTTATGTTGTAGTTTCCGTTATCATTCCTGTTGTAATTGTCTGACCTAGTCGGTGAATTATTGTTATTCATATTTCTGCTAAAATTATTATTTTCTTGGTATTCGTAACTCGTGCTCCTGTAACCATTTTGATTTCCATTGAACGGCCTTTGATTAGACCTAACGAAATTATTCGGAAAATCTCTATGAGGTCTGAATTTTCTATCGAACGAATTGTTTTGTTGATGTTTTCGTTGATACCGGTTAAAATATTTGGGTTGATTAACATGATTATCCCAATTATTTCGGTTCCTTTGTGATTTTGATTTTTCAGCGATGTGAATACACTGAAGTCTTTTTTCGATATCCTCAATTTGTTTTTCGTAGATACACTCTTCCTGTAAACATTTGACTAGTTCATTGAAGGTGATTTTGCCATATTTTTATGACTCTCTGCCTTTGGCATTATTTTCTTCATATTCATCCACGTGATCTTTTAATGTTAATGCCCTATCTTTGTAATCTTGAAAGGATTCGTTTGGTCCTTGTTCCAAAGTTTCGATTTTCTGAAAAAATTCTTCCAGCTTAACATTTGTCCCAAATTCTCTTTCGAGATTGGTTCTCACTTCGGGCCATGTTTCCGCATAAATGCGTTTGAAATACCCTGATGCCGGATCTTTCAATTTCATCAAAATTACCTGAATTAAAGGTTCATGCGATTCTTCTACTGGCAATTTCTTAGCGAAGAAATCGCACTGGTATAAAAACGATCGTAATTCTGAGGCCGCGCCTCTGAACTCTGGAATGCATTGAATAGCTCTTTCAGTTGGGAACTCTGCCATTTTTTGTTTGTTTTTCGAAGCAAACGAGAAAAAATGCGACTGTTTCTCAGTCTCTTATTAAATTATGGATATTGCTATTATCTTGCCTTTTCGTGAATTTAATTGGATACAAAACGCTTTCAGCGTAAATTCAAGACAAATTTTTTTTTTCATGTGTTGTGCTTTGTTAATCAAATTTGCCTGTTGGCCTTTTAAATTTGTTTAAATTAATTTAACGTTCCCTTAAAGTGGTTGATTAAGCATTAAGCATCTTGCAAGAAATGTTGCTTACAAAGATGAAATGTATACTATTTATAATATTGTACGCGTAAAATATTTATAATACGGTAATGTATCAGAACTTTACACAATTTTTTATTTTTTTTTTTAACTGTGTACTCACCCTATCAGGAGCAGGATCAGGGTTATTCCTTGTTGAGTCTGCGATGAAGTTCCCAGATGAAGTCCCCATATCTTTATAGTTGACCAGATGTGCACCAATGTGCTGTACTCTTTATTAATCACTAGTTCACTTTTTCCTTTTTTGTAATTTAATCAAAGTCACTTTTTGGTTTTTTAACACTTACTGATTTTAGCCAGTCGAAATTTTGGCGTTCCAACACTTGAAAATAGCGGTTTAGTTTCCGCTGTCACCAGATGAAGCGCCCATACTCCGTTGCGCATCCATGTTTCACTCCCGTGTTGAAGTGCCCAACGTAGAGCAACAACTCGCGTGGTCTTTCTTTCTCCGTAAAATGAAAGACAGTGCAATTCCATTTCTACTGTATGGAAAAAGCTCTTTGATGAATCAGTTATACTGAGGTTGGAACTGTGCTCGTCCGCACCTAGCAAACCTCGGATAATAAACTCATCAGAACAACTGCCCCGATTCTTTATTATTCGAAACCTTTTATACATGAATTTGTTACTTAAACTCTACACAATAGTTTTTCTCCAGTATGTACATATAAAGCGAGACAGATAGTTTTTCTCTTGGAAAGTCAGTGTCTGTTTTTTTTTTTAACAAGAATTAATGCTCCTCGCGGTAGGAACGGCTATGTAGGATGCTTACTCACCAATGTTTACTTTGACCTTTCTCGAAGCACCTAGTTAAGCCAGCGCGCATCGCTGACGACGCGGTAGCAACTGTTTATAAACAACTGACCCTGGAAGTGTGCGACATTGTCACTGCTGCTGTTAAGTTGTGTATTTGCTCCTACCGTATGGGGGTCTATTACTGGTTAATTTCTTACTCAGATTGATATTGGATTTTAAGGCCTTAGCAGAAGCAGCCGGCGTAATTAGTGGAAGCAGTCGGCTGAAAAAAATATTTTAAAAAATCATCAAAATTTTTCATCTGTCAATTTGTAATTAATTTCAATTTGTAATTAATTTCCAAAATTGATCCGCTGGAGGAATCCGGCTGAGTTATGCATCCTAACTGATGCAACGCATCAATAAGGATGCTCAACTCAGCCGGATTCCTCCAGCGAATCAATTTTTAATAATAATTACACTTAATATCAAACTGTTCAGTACTTACCATCAACTTTGCCATCGGAGGCCAATTTCACGACGCGGATAAACGCGTCTATACACGCACGATATGAAAAAACGACTGACCACGTAATAAGTCGCCGCGAAAAAAATCACAAAAAAATTGCTAAGTTCCATCCGCCATTTGGTCGCCCGGCGGATGAAATTACTCTAGCGGAGCGAGTCGCCTTTCGTCCGGATCCCGGAGCGCCATTTGGTAGCCCGGCGCACAGAGGAGTAACTGGAACAAAAACCTGGCCAAAATTATATTCACTGGGTTTGAGCAATTTTCTGCTAATATATATTAAAATATTTAATATTAATAGGTTTTTAGACTTCTGTTAACTTTAACTTTTAAAATCCATCTGCTTAGCAGTGCATATCTGGCCTTTCATCAACCGTAACGGTACGCTACTAAACTCATTTTAGCAGCCCTCATCATAGCGCACCTACCGTATCGGGGGTTGCCATACGAGTAACTAAAATAGCAGTCGGCTTCTCGGTGAGAAGCGCGTTACCAAATTTAGCAGCGCGATAGCAGCGCTGCAGAAAGGTTGCTATTCGCGAGGGGGGCGACACATCTAAATCTCAAGTTTAGATGCTCCACAAATCTCACACTAGCGAATCAATCTTCGAAAAATCTTCTTTCATTTGTCGCATCTACTTGCATCACTCATCATCTTTTTGCAGGAAATCTTCAGAATCGTCATCAATCTTCTTTCTATCTACTCAGCGTGCGCGCAGCTAGCCACAGCAAAACACAATCTTTTTTGCATCGTAGATAGAGTCGTCCCCCTCGGCTATTCGTAGAAATGTAAAAATGCTCACTACCGGTACGGACTACGGCGAGTAAATTGATAACCGCGATAGCAGCGCCCGGTGTAGGGAAGAGTGACTAAACTAAAATGAGAGCGCTGTGCGCTGTTAAAATAGTCGCGCAAATAACAACGACCGTTACGGTTGCTCTAACGAATGAAAATAAAGCAGAATCTGTGCACGGTAACCACAAACTACTCAATATTGAATACAAAGATTCTAACTTATCGAACGTAAGAAATCCCAAATTGTGTTATTAAAACTTTCGTTATTTTTTATTATTTTTTTATTACAGGGCAATGATTCTTGGATAGTTTCTTTACTCTTTGTTGTTAAATAATCCTTATATTAAGCAGAAGAATAAAAAAAATCCTACTTTCAAAACCCATTACTTTTTTTATTCGTACACACAAAAAAAAGTCATTGCTACAATCAAAAAGATCGTTGCTAAAATTAAAAGTTTGCATTTGTTCTTTTTGGTAGAAAGCGGTTCACTTTTAAAATGAAAGTCAGCCAACTTTCACATTAAGAGTTGCCCGTTTACTACTTTTAAAAGTTTAAAATTTCAAAATAAATTGTACAACTGTCAAATGAAAAGCATTACAGTGTTGAAATTAATACTGGTTTAATTTTGTTTAACAACAAACTTTTTGGCATGAAAGTTTGATACAGTTGAAATGTCATGTCAAAGTTTTCAATTGAAATAACAAAATTTTCATCATAAAAATATATTTTTTTTTATTTTAAGTTCTAGTGCTGTGTAAAACTTACAGTTTCTAATATGTAATTGAAAGGTTAATAAATACATTTATTATGCACTGTTCAATAATTTCTAAATCCTCCGATCCAAGAATGCTTGATCGGGCAGCTGCAGCAAACGACGCGATTTGCGATATTTCCTAGTCCAGAGGCCTGTTTATATGTAAATCTGTTTTCCAATGTAAATGTGGATTGCTTGACGAACGGGCCATTTCCACCGAATTACTGGCCACTTTCAGATGCGCATACACTGAGAAAAAATCAATGATTGTTTCTATGTGTTCCACACATAGATTTTTGCAATTAGATTTATGATATAGTTTCTATATGCCAGACACATAAATCTCACTTGCACATATCATCTCTATATGTGATCACACATACTGTTTATATGACACATAATCTTTATGTGTTTTGTTCCATGGTATCTAATTATGTGTGGCCAAATGAATATTATGCTTAATATTTTATAGAAATTTTCTATTAGTTATGTGTGAATTTTTACTAGTGTAGGAATGTTTCCACTGGGGATCCAACGAGGGATCTAACGGATACGAGAAATTGTTCTGGATCTAAAAAAAAAAAACAAGGGGAAGATTTTACTTCAGATAATTTATTTTCAATGCGTTATGGTGCCTATATATACTTACTATCATTTTATCCGCAATCCGGCAGATTGTCTCGAATGTGGTGTGTTCGAGCGACTATGCTTCCTCTTATTAAAATCCCGCTACATGTTCCTATTTTTGATGGATGGCGGAACTTTCCACATGTCCAAACACTCAGGCCGGTAGATAAAATTGTCCACATTAAATCGGTTTAAAAATAACGTTTCAGGCCGCATTCGATCGCCGCGAATGAATAATTACGTGGTCTTCCATTTGTGAATTGAAACAGATCGAATTGGGGCACATTTTACTAACGGAATTGAGGCAAACGTTTGCTAAACTCATTTGATCCCTATACACACGTGACTGTTTTCGCTTTTTATGCACTCACACTATTCTAAAACTACTCATAAATGAGTAGAAGTCCACCCAATGAAGAAGTGATTTTGACAGCTCAACATTTGCACTTTCAGAAGTACAAGACAAAACCATAACATTTACTTTTAAATTGAAAACTACCTAGTTGTATTAAATGTTGTCATTGCTAGATTAACGAATTAGTGGATACTTTTAAATTGAAAGGTCAGTATTTTTAATGATACAATTTTTGTTTTTTGTGTGTATGGATGATGAAAGGCCAGATATGCACTGCTAAGCAGATGGATTTTAAAAGTTAAAGTTAACAGAAGTCTAAAAACCTATTAATATTAAATATTTTAATATATATTAGCAGAAAATTGCTAAAAACCAGTGAATATAATTTTGGCCAGGTTTTTGTTCCAGTTACTCCTCTGTGCGCCGGGCTACCAAATGGCGCTCCGGGATCCGGACGAAAGGCGACTCGCTCCGCTAGAGTAATTTCATCCGCCGGGCGACCAAATGGCGGATGGAACTTAGCAATTTTTTTGTGATTTTTTTCGCGGCGACTGATTACGTGGTCAGTCGTTTTTTCATATCGTGCGTGTATAGACGCGTTTATCCGCGTCGTGAAATTGGCCTCCGATGGCAAAGTTGATGGTAAGTACTGAACAGTTTGATATTAAGTGTAATTATTATTAAAAATTGATTCGCTGGAGGAATCCGGCTGAGTTGAGCATCCTTATTGATGCGTTGCATCAGTTAGGATGCATAACTCAGCCGGATTCCTCCAGCGGATCAATTTTGGAAATTAATTACAAATTGAAATTAATTACAAATTGACAGATGAAAAATTTTGATGATTTTTTAAAATATTTTTTTCAGCCGACTGCTTCCACTAATTACGCCGGCTGCTTCCACTGATCCGCTGGAGGAATCCTTACCGATGCAACGCATGCCGATGCCGGATCCCGATGTTTATGTTTAAGGTAAAGTTAAGTTAAATTTTTATTAAAATTAAGTAAAAGTTAAAGGTATTTCAATGTTCAGTTAAATTAAGTAAGTAACAACTAAATTTAAGTTAAAATTATGTTGAAGTTAAGTTAAAGTTCGGCTAATTAAGTTAGAGTTATGTTAATTTTATGCTACAATTATGTTAAAGTAAAGTTAAAGTTAAGTTCATGTTATGTTAAAGTTAAAGTTATGTTAATGGTAAGATAAACATTTGTTAAAACAAAAGTTAAAATTTAGTTAATGTTACGTTAAAATTAAGCTAGAGTTAAGTTAAGGTTATGTTTAAGTTAAGTTAAAGGTAAGTTACAGTTATGTTTATGTTAAGATAAAGTTAAGTTAATTTATGTTTAAGATAAAGTTAAGTTAAAGGTAAGTTTAAAATCATGTTGAAGTTAAGTTAACGTTAAGTTAAAGTTAAGTAAAATTTAAGTTAACGATAAGTTAATGGTAAGTTAAAATTATGTTAAGGTGAAATTTATTCAAATTGATGTATAAGTTATGTGAAAGTTAAATATAAATTAAATTTATGTTGAAGTTCAAGTAACGTTAAAGTTATTGTTATGTTAAGTTATAATTAATTTAAATTCAAAGTTATGTTAAAGTTAAACTTATGCTAAAAATAAAATAAATTTATAGCGAATTTGTTTCAATTTAAGTTGAAGTTTTGCTAAAATTATGTTCAAGTAAAGTTAAGTTAAAGTTATGCTATATATAAGTTAAAGTTAAGTTAAAGTTAAGTTAAAGTTAAGTTAAAGTTAAGTTAAAGTTAAGTTAAAGTTAAGTTAAAGTTAAGTTAAAGTTAAGTTAAAGTTAAGTTAAAGTTAAGTTAAAGTTAAGTTAAAGTTAAGTTAAAGTTAAGTTAAAGTTAAGTTAAAGTTAAGTTAAAGTTAAGTTAAAGTTAAGTTAAAGTTAAGTTAAAGTTAAGTTAAAGTTAAGTTAAAGTTAAGTTAAAGTTAAGTTAAAGTTAAGTTAAAGTTAAGTTAAAGTTAAGTTAAAGTTAAGTTAAAGTTAAGTTAAAGTTAAGTTAAAGTTAAGTTAAAGTTAAGTTAAAGTTAAGTTAAAGTTAAGTTAAAGTTAAGTTAAAGTTAAGTTAAAGTTAAGTTAAAGTTAAGTTAAAGTTAAGTTAAAGTTAAGTTAAAGTTAAGTTAAAGTTAAGTTAAAGTTAAGTTAAAGTTAAGTTGAAGTTAAGTTAAAGTTAAGTTAAAGTTAAGTTAAAGTTAAGTTAAAGTTAAGTTAAAGTTAAGTTAAAGTTAAGTTAAAGTTAAGTTAAAGTTAAGTTAAAGTTAAGTTAAAGTTAAGTTAAAGTTAAGTTAAAGTTAAGTTAAAGTTAAGTTAAAGTTAAGTTAAAGTTAAGTTAAAGTTAAGTTAAAGTTAAGTTAAAGTTAAGTTAAAGTTAAGTTAAAGTTAAGTTAAAGTTAAGTTAAAGTTAAGTTAAAGTTAAGTTAAAGTTAAGTTAAAGTTAAGTTGAAGTTAAGTTAAAGTTAAGTTAAAGTTAAGTTAAAGTTAAGTTAAAGTTAAGTTAAAGTTAAGTTAAAGTTAAGTTAAAGTTAAGTTAAAGTTAAGTTAAAGTTAAGTTAAAGTTAAGTTAAAGTTAAGTTAAAGTTAAGTTAAAGTTAAGTTAAAGTTAAGTTAAAGTTAAGTTAAAGTTAAGTTAAAGTTAAGTTAAAGTTAAGTTAAAGTTAAGTTAAAGTTAAGTTAAAGTTAAGTTAAAGTTAAGTTAAAGTTAAGTTTAAGTTAAGTTAAAGTTAAGTTAAAGTTAAGTTAAAGTTAAGTTAAAGTTAAGTTAAAGTTAAGTTAAAGTTAAGTTAAAGTTAAGTTAAAGTTAAGCTAAAGTTAAGTTAAAGTTAAGTTAAAGTTAAGTTAAAGTTAAGTTAAAGTTAAGTTAAAGTTAAGTTAAAGTTAAGTTAAAGTTAAGTTAAAGTTGAGTTAAAGTTAAGTTAAAGTTAAGTTAAAGTTAAGTTAAAGTTAGGTTAAAGTTAAGTTAAAGTTAAGTTAAAGTTAAGTTAAAGTTAAGTTTAAGTTAAGTTTAAGTTAAGTTTAAGTTAAGTTAACGTTATGTTGAAGTTAAAGTAAATGCTTAAGTTAATTTAAAGTTCAGTTAATGTTAGGATAAAGTAATGTTAAATGTAAGTTAAAATTACGTTAAGGTTTTGTTTAAGTTAAAGATATGTTAAGTTAATGTTCGGTTAAAGACAAAGTTATGTTAAAGTTATGGTAAATTTCAGTTAAAATTTAAAGTAAAGTTAAATTTAATTTTAGGTTAAAGTTATGTTAAAATTTAAGTTATATTAAAATTAAGTTAAAGTTATGTTAAAGATAAGTTAAAGTTATTAAAATTAAGTTAAAGTTATGTTAAAGATAAGTTAAAGTTAAGTTAAGTTAAAGTTAAGTTAAAGTTAAGTTAAAGTTAAGTTAAAGTTAAGTTAAAGTTAAGTTAAAGTTAAGTTAAAGTTAAGTTAAAGTTAAGTTAAAGTTAAGTTAAAGTTAAGTTAAAGTTAAGTTAAAGTTAAGTTAAAGTTAAGTTAAAGTTAAGTTAAAGTTAAGTTAAAGTTAAGTTAAAGTTAAGTTAAAGTTAAGTTAAAGTTAAGTTAAAGTTAAGTTAAAGTTAAGTTAAAGTTAAGTTAAAGTTAAGTTAAAGTTAAGTTAAAGTTAAGTTAAAGTTAAGTTAAAGTTAACGTTGTAACGTCACCTAGTGCCTCGTCATCCACGAATTGGCGCCTATGTCAGTAGTCTAATAACTCTTAGCGCGCTGATGGCATGGTTCCAATGCCGCATAGAGAGTTGCTACAATGATATTAGGTTAGCTAAGGTGCATTTCTATAACGTTATCTAACAACAATGGTGTGTACTGTTTACAAAATCATGTTTGTAATTCTAATGTGTTGTATGGTTGAAAGCATTTGAAAAAGTTAGATTCTAATGTTTTGCACATCTGAAAACATCCGAAAACAATAAGTTCTTAGTGCAATCAAACAAAACCGAAAATCATTTTGTTTTAATGTCTTGTACATTTGACAACATCAGGAAGCATCTACATTTGAAAACACCCGAAGAACGTTAAATTTTAACGTTTTGTACGGCTAAAATCATCTAAAAAATAATAATTCGATTAAAATTCTCAACGTCAGAACAACATTTGAATAGAAAATTTTTATTTCACGTTACATCTAAATAGCAATGTTTTCTAATGTTTGACGCCAGGAATATATTTTATTTCGATGCTGATGTAGACATCAAACGTTAGGCAAACGTAAATTTTTATTCGGGTTCCCCCGGGACACCCGGAATATCTCCGGATGTGGCCAAAGTGGTTCTTGTAGTGGTTTGAGTTCCATTGAACCAGAAATGGAATTCTGATGTATTTTGATGTGTCGTATGATGGGTTTGGCTCTAATCAGATGTTGGCCTCTTCCCCCTGGACACCGGGAATATGTCCAGATGTGGCCAAAGTGGTTCTAGGAACTAAATTTGAGTTCCAATGAACCAGAAATTGAATTCTTATGTATTTTGATGTGTCGCATGATGGGTTTCACCCTAATCAGACTTGGCCTCTTCCCCCGAGACACCCGGAATATGTCCGGATGTGACCAAAGTGGTTCTTGGAACTAGATTTGAGTTCCATTGAACCAGTCGTTGAATTCTCATGTAATTTGATGTGTCGCATGATGGCTTTGACCCTACTCAGAGGTTGGCCTCTACCCCCGGGACACCCGGAATATGTCCGGATGTGGCCAAAGTGGTTCGTGGAACTATATTTGAGTTCTATTAAACCAGAAATTGTATTCTCATGTATTTTGATGTGTCGCATGATGGGTTTGACCCTAATCAGATGTTGGTCTCTTCCCCCGGGACACCCGGAATATGTCCAGATGTGGCCAAAGTGATTCTAGGAACTAGATTTGAGTTCTATTAAACCAGAAATTGTATTCTCATGTATTTTGATGTGTCGCATGATGGGTTTGACCCTAATCAGATGTTGGTCTCTTCCCCCGGGACACCCGGAATATGTCCGGATGTGGCCAAAGTGATTCTTGGAACTAGATTTGAGTTCCATTGAACCAGAAATTGAATTCTCATGTAATTTGATGTGTCGCATGATTTGTTTGACCCTAATCAGATGTTGGCCTCTTCCCCCGGGACACCCGGAATATGTCCGGATGTGGCCAAAGTGGTTCTTGGAACTAGATTTGAGTTCTATTAAACCAGAAATTGTATTCTCATGTATTTTGATGTGTCGCATGATGGGTTTGACCCTAATCAGATGTTGGTCTCTTCCCCCGGGACACCCGGAATATGTCCGGATGTGGCCAAAGTGATTCTTGGAACTAGATTTGAGTTCCATTGAACCAGAAATTGTATTCTCATGTAATTTGATGTGTCGCATGATGGGTTTGACCCTAATCAGATGTTGGCCTCTTCCCCCGGGACACCCGGAATATGTCCGGATGTGGCCAAAGTGGTTCTTGGAACTAGATTTGAGTTCTATTGAACCAGAAATTGAATTCTCATGTAATTTGATGGGTTTGACCCTTATCAGATGTTGGCTTCTTCCCCCGGGACACCCGGAATGTATCCGGACGTGGCCAAAGTGGTTCTTGGAACTAGATTTGAGTTCCATTGAACTAGTTTTTGAATTCCTGTGTATTTTGATGTGTTACATGATGGGGTTGACTTAGTTTGTAAGATATTATTGTTAGGTTAAGATCTATTTAATAAAAAAGCATATCAGGCATAACATTTGATAACGGCACAAAAGCATTTGTAAACAAACTTTCTAAGGCCCTTTACACGCGAACCTAAGTACGCTCACGCAAACCAACAACATCATCGGCTAGGGGCAACTATCACCTTTCCGAAAGTGGTATTGGTTTGTGTGGGCGTACTTTGGTTCACGTGTAAAGGGCCTTAGAAAGTTTGTTTACAAATGCTTTTGTGCCGTTATCAAATGTTATGCCTGATATGTTCTAAGAATAT